ATAAATACCCCCTTTAGGTCATTCCTAAAGGTGTGGAGACGGCATAAGATAGAAAGAGAGAGAGATTTCGTGAGAGTGCTTCAAAAACCCTAGGAGGCCGCCGCCCTTGGAGGAGGAGCCGCCGCTGGAGGAAGACATCGCGCCTCCGTCGTCGCTTCCGTTCTTCGTTCTTCTTCTTTCTTTTCTTTAATTTCCTGCAACTTTCAATACCCTGTGATGATTGTTTACAATATGTTTGAGTAGTTACCAAGTTGGGTTTAAAGGGATTGTTCAAAGGGAATTTCATGTGTCTTTGCTTATGAATCGATAGATTTAGGATTTATAATCTTCTAGATGTCCTTCGTTTGCCTTTAATCTTACTGCGTGATTCTTTGCTGGCCACTTAGAAGCCGATCTGATATGATATGTTGCGAAAGCTTTCATTGATTGTCTGAACTAGGGTGAAACGAGCAATTCTTCTATAGGAGTGGAAACCTACCTGTAGTTGAGTTGTGAATATTGATGAGTCTTGTTCTGCTATTGCATCTTCTCCCTTCCAGAATCAGAGTGGAAACCTACTGATTAGGGTTGCGAGAGATAGTTGTTTAGTGCTGCGAAAGTAGGCTATTCATGCTTCTGTGCCTCGAGTTCTAGAACATACCTAGTTGATTACCTTTATCACTTGTTTAAAATCGACCTAGCATAGACTATGAACCCCTGCGAAAACCCCTTGAGCCCCAACGTTTGTCTTTAATTGCTTACAACCTTCGTATTCCTTTGCTTTTCATTCGCTTATTTTCTTGTTTCCATTATACTTTCAATCGCTATTTACTTGCCTTCTATTCGCTTTGTTTAATCGCTTTTTACTTGCTTTACCTGCTTTAGTTTTATTTCAATTGCTTTTACTTGTTTAGCTTTCTAGTTTAGATTTAGTGACAACAAAAACCCAAAACCAAAACCAAAACCTTTTAGTTCTAATCTGATTTAAGCGTTGCGTTGAATTAGTACTGAAACAACTAAGTCTCTGTGGATCGAGACCCTAAATACTACAGCGCACATCTGTGCACTTGCAGACATTTAGGGGTTATAAATTTAAAACCTGAAGCTTAGTAAAACGAAAACAACAAACCCCCCTTTACAAACTCGCATCAGTCGCCCTCTCTTTGGCTCAGCGGATGTTCGATAAGTGGGGATCTGGCACGCAGGCGGTCGCCCTCTCGTGTGGGATCAAGAAATGGTGTGTTGGCAGAGTGAATACACGACACAGAGGGGAGGTTACTCTCTGATACGGTGCAGGAGCTCACGCTTGCTTGAATCTCACAAGAAAGCAATGAACAAGATGAGAAGCCGCTTCTCAAAAACTTAGAAGAAAGTTCGTTCTTTTATTGGTGATGGGAAAAAGGTTGCGGACTACAAAGCTGCGTGTGGGACTTTATAAACAGTCTGTCAGCTTGAACCTTCTAGGGCTAGACTCAAAACAAAAATGGAAAGACTCAAAACAACAGGACGTTTAAAGCAAAACTACAAGAAATAAACCTAGACGCCTAAAACATAAACTCATCGTTTCATTAAACTCAAATATGGAAAGTTTGCAACAGACTCTTGAAACTAAACTATTGATGTCATTTTGATGTGGTACTTAGTCCTTGTGCGGGCCGAGATCACCTGCAATAACAATATAGTAAAGGAAAAGCTTACCTTGGTGTAGAGGGCTGCATCTGGCCGCTTGTGCAGTTGTGGAGGCCGGCCTTGAAGCTGCAACGTCTCTGACTTGAAACCTTCTTGTAAAGTCTTCTAAGTGCTTCTCCATTGTGGTTGTCTTCAAGTCCCCAAGCTTTTTGATGCTCCGTCCTAGCTTCTTGGTCTTCTTGGTCTTTCTCGGGTCCGGGTGGTGTGTTGTGAAGCAGCTCCAAATCTGCTCGTTGGTGGGGCAAGATTCCACGTTCGTTAGCTTCAGAATATGGACTTGGATGAGAGATATTACCTTTGTTGGAGGTTTCCAAGCCGTCTGGTTGTTCTAGCGCGGGTGCCTTTAAATCATCGGCTAAATCTTGCATGGTCTCGGCAATCTCGTTATCCGCTCAGGCAAACTTGTTTCTGTCTCGAGCGTTGGATTCAGCTGGTGATTTTGGTCAGGCGATGTCAGCTTCAGTACGACAAATTCCATCGCCAACTTGGTCTTGCCGAGGCGATTCTAATTTCTCGGCTAAAAATTCTCGCGTCTCGGCCAAAAGTTCTCGCGTATCGGCTATTTTTGAGTTGTCCCTTAGTTATTCAAGTTTAAACCTGAAAATGAAATTCTGCTCGGACTGTTAGCATTTAAATAAAAAATTGGTCGAGAGATACCCATTTTGGCCTGAGAGACTTGATCGTCTGGTGGGTCATTCCTGTCTCCCAAGTGTTCGGCCCCGGTTTGGCCGCATAGGTCGTTTAAGCCGTATATGACATTCAGGTCGGGCAACAACGGATTATCTGGTTCTAGCGAGTTGATAAAGATGTGTAAGGCCCTCTTGTATCTATTTCTGAGTTGTTAATCTTGGAGCGTGTCATGGCCCCGTCTTGGACTGATGGCATTAGCTCCGGTAAGGTCTTAGGGTCGATGTCCACATCATTCCCTCCCTCTTCTAAAGGTTTTGACCCCAAAACTTCTTCACCTGCATCAAAATAAGATAAGTCAGCCACTTTGAAAGTGTGTGAAATGTTATACTCACCTGGAAGATCTAAACGGTAAGCATTATCGTTGATCTTGCTCAAGACTTTGAATGGGCCGTCGCCTCGTGGTGAGAGTTTGGATGCAGGCCGACCAGGAAATCTTTCTGTCCTCATTGTAACCAGACCCAATCTCATGGCTCAAATGAGACGTCCTTTCGGCCTTTGGCTGCGGCCTTCTTGTAGACCTCGGTCTTCTTTTCTATGTTGGTCTTCGCCGTCTCATATTACTTTTTGAATAGCTCTCCTCGTCTCAACCCATCTAGATTGGCTCGGTCTACCTGTGCTATAGGTCTAAGATCCACTGGAGAGAGAGGGTTAGTATCATAAACTATCTCAAAAGGAGATAGCTTAGTAGCCGAATGTCTTGCACGATTATATGCGAATTCGACAAAGGGAATACAATCAAGCCAAGTACTCATTTTTTTGCCAAGGGCAGACCTAAGTAATGTAGATAAGGTTCGGTTTACCACTTCTGTTTGACCATCGATCTGTGGGTGGCAAGTTGTGGAGAAAAGGAGCTTGGTGCCTAACGTTTTCCACAAGGTACGCCAAAAATGGCTGAGAAACTTGGTGTCTCGGTCTGAAATGATTGTTCTCGGGATCCCATGTAGACGTACGACCTCCTTGAAGAACAAATTGGCTATTTGTGTGGCGTCGCTTGTCTTTACACACGGTATAAAGTGGGCCATCTTAGAGAATCGGTCGACAACAACAAAGATGGAGTCCTTGTGCCTGATCTTTGGCAAACCTAAGACAAAATCCATCAAAATATCTACCCAAGGGGCGTTAGGTATAGGCAGAGGCATGTATAGACCGTGAGGGTGTGACCTGGATTTAGCTTTGTGGCACTGGATACATCTTGAGCAGAAACGTTCCACATCTCTCTTCATATGGGGCCAATAGAAATGGTCCATCATAACAGCCAGAGTTTTATCCACCCCAAAGTGTCCCATTAAACCTCCACCGTGTGCTTCACTAAGCACTAGTTCCCTCATTGATCCCTGCGGAATACACAAGCGTTTATCTTTAAAAAGAAAACCATCGTGTATATAGAAAGAACCTGTGTGGACTTTGCAGCAATCTTGATATGTTTCCCCAAGCTCAGGATCATCCTTATATAGTTCCTTTATGTGCTCGAAGCCCAAAACTTTGGCCTCCATGGTGGCTATAAGAGTATGGCACCTTGATAAAGCGTCTGCTACCATGTTTTCTTTGCCGTTTTTGTACTTGATTACATAGGGAAAAGTCTCTATGAACTTAAGCCACTTAGAATGTCTCCTTTTAAGTGAGGTTTGGCCACACAAATGCTTAAAGGTCTCGTGGTCAGTGTGTATGATGAATTCCTTGGACAACAAGTAATGTTGCCAAGTTTCCAATGCTCTAACCAGTGCGTACAACTCCTTATCGTAGGTGGGGTAATTGAGGGTGGCCCCATGGAATTTCTCACTGAAATATGCCACCGGTCTCTTCTTCTAATGCAACACAGCTACGATCCCTAACCCGGAGCCATCGCATTCCACTTCAAACATCTCATCAAAGTTAGGTAACGCAAGAACGGGTGCTTGAGTGAGCCTTTTATTCAAGGCTTGAAACGCTTCATCTTGAGCTGCTCTCCACTTAAATGGAGCGTTTTTCTTGATGACAGCCGTGAGTGGTGCGCTCACGGTGCTGAAATCTTTCACAAATCGCCGGTAAAAACTGGCTAACCCATGAAAGCTTCGAACATGATCGTTGGTGGTGGGAGTGGGCCATTCCTGTATGGCTTTGATCTTCTCTTCATCCACCTGTAAGCCTTGTTTACTCACAATACTTCTTGAGGTTAGCATAAAGGCCTTCCTTGCGAAGTGATTTGAGCACTAGTTCAAGGGGTGTGAGATGATCACGTAGGTTCTTACTATATATAAGTATGTCATCAAAATAAACTACTACGAATTAACTTATATATTCTCGAAGAACCTGTTTCATCAGTCGCATGAAGGTGCTTGGAGCATTAGTTAAGCCAAAAGGCATGACTACCACTCGTACAAGCCTTGCTTGGTCTTGAAGGCCGTTTTCCATTCATCTCCCTCACGCATTCTGACCTGATGATACCCACTCTTCAAATCCACTTTGGAGAAGATAGTGGATCCACTAAGTTCATCCAACTTGTCGTCTAAACGCGGGATGGGGTGCCTATACTTGATAGTAATGTTGTTTATGGCTCGGCAATCCACACACATGCGCCATGTGCCATCCTTCTTGGGCACTAGAAGCACAGGCACGGCACAGGGGCTGAGGCTCTCTCTGATATAGCCTTTGTCCATCAAGTCTCACACTTGTCTCTCAAGCTCTTTGCTTTCTTCCGGGTTTATTCGGTAAGCTGCCTTATTTGGTAACGGCTGGCCTGGAACAAGGTCTATCTGATGTTCTATTCCTCGTAGAGGTGGTAGCCCTGGTGGGATCTCTTCGGGAAACACATCTTCGAACCGTTTGATCAAAGCCTCTACCTCAGGTGGGAGCTCAAGTTCCTTTAACCCTGCGCTAAGACATTCTTTGAAAAGCATTTATAACATGGTGCCATTGGCACTCCAAACGCGGTTTAATTCACCAGTAGATATATATAATGCTGATTTAGAAGACTTAGCCTCTTGTTGCATCCGGCTCTGAAGCTCGTGGACCTCGGTGGGGCTGAGTGGTACTAGATTGTATTTGCGGCCAAGGTGTGTAAAGCTATAAAAGTTGGTGCGACCATTGTGTAAGGTAGCCTTGTCAAACTGCCATGGCCTACCCAGTAGAACATGCCCTGTTTGCATAGGCACAACATCACAAAGCACCTTGTCTTTGTACTTGCCCACACTAAAAGGAACCGTGACTTGCTCGGTTACTTTGAGCTCGGTAGCATCGTCAAGCCACTGTAGTTTATAAGGCCTCGGGTGTTTGATCTTCACCAGCCCTAATCTGTGTACCATAAACTAGCTTGCCACGTTAGTACATGAACCTCCATCAATAACAAGATTACATACCTTGTTGTTGATAGTGCATCGCGTGTGGAATAAGTTTTCTCGTTGGATCCGATCCTCAGGCTGAACTTGCACGCTTAGGACTCTTCTAGTTACTAAGAGATATTCACCAGTATCAGGCTATTCCACATCCTCTTCGTTGTCCTCTGGCTCTTCTTCGGGCTCGTCTTGAGACTCATATCCTCCACTCGGAGTGATCATCATTACTCTTTGATTTGGGAAGTCTCATGCATAGTGCCTTCGTCCCTGACACTTGAAACTGGTTATATCGCGTGTTCTAGCTTGACTAGTGTTTTGAAACTTACCTGGTTCCGGTCGGTTGGTCTTTGGTGCCTCGGTGGGTTTTGATTTGAGACGTGAGTCAGCTTCCACGGCCTTGCCCTTGTCATTGGTTCTACTCGAACTGGCTTGCCATGGCTGACTCCCTCGGTTGCGGTTTGTTAGTGAGGCCTTGCGTTTGATTTGTTATTCCACCTGAACTGAAAGGTGCAATAATTAGTGGAGGCCAATATACTTGACTCTCTCCACTTTATGGGATATCCTCTCTTGTAGACCGTCAACAAACTGAGCCATTAAGGCTTCTTCTGTCTCTTCAAGCTCTAGGGAGTTCATCAGTTTCTCAAACTCCTCAAAGTACTCATCCACGCTCCTTGTTCCCTGAGTTAACTTACGAAAACGTTTCTGTAAGTCATGATGATAGTGTTCAGGAACATACCTGAGCCGTAGAAGGTAGTTCATGTCGTTCCAAGTTTGTATCGGTCCAAAAACCTGGCGTCTCCTCTCAGCTACGGTGCGATCCCACCATGCTAAAGCATTATCGGTGAGTTGAGCCGCGGCTGAGGCCACTTTCTTGTTCTCACTATAGCCATAGCAGTCAAAGATGTATTCTAACCGCCGTTCCCAGTCCAAGTAAACTTCGGGATTAGATTTTCCTGCAAAAGTTGGTGGCGTTAGTTTTATATCATGGTTAACTTCTCTCGGCTCTCGTTCTTGCGGCCTGTTGCGTAGCAAAGGGTCTTGTCTTCTCGGTTCTCCCCTACGCATAGGGTCTGGTGGAAGATCCTCCTCCGTTCAGGCATGCTGTGTGAATCAGAATCAGGTGGAATCTCCTCGGCCTGGTTAAGCACGTTCCTCCGAGCTTAAGGCAGTACATGATTCGGTGCTCGGTGAATTGGTGGCTCGAGTCTTGCAACACGTTCACGCGTATCCCTCAATTCTTCTCGCATGGTGGCTAGCATGGCCATGAGCTCGTTGTGTTGTTGTCCATTGGCGTTCTCGGTGTTATCTCCCATAAATCTTGTAATCTCACAAAAACAACAACTCGTCAATGTACCAAATGTAAAATGAAATTTTATGCAAGAGATAACTAAGATTCTAACTAAATTTTTTTGAAGTTTCTATTTTAATGAAAACAAGAATGCAACAATACGAAATGAGATGAAACAAAATGATTCAAAATGAATTTTTTTTTTTTTTCTTAGGAAAAAAGAAACAAGACAAGGATATATTACCCTAACTAATCCTTTTTTTTACTTTTCTCTTAGAATAACTAACCGATCTAACAATATATGAATGCGGAAACAAGAAATAACTAAAAGGGATAATAGTAAGAAAACCGAAAGCAGAACTTTCGGCTCTGATACCAGATGATGTAAGAACCAGGGGGTTCCCACGGGAAACAAAGGTGGTGGAGAGACAAAGCAGGCGGTCGCCCTCTCTTTGGCTCAGCGGATGTTCAATAAGTGGGTATCTGACATGCAGGCGGTCGCCCTCTCGTGTGGGATCAAGAAATGGTTTGTTGGCGGAGTGAATACACGACACAGAGGGAATGTTACTCTCTGATACGGTGCAGGAGCTCACGCTTGCTTGAATCTCACAAGAAAGCAATGAACAAGATGAGAAGCCGCTTCTCAGAAACTTAGAAGAAAGTTCGTTTTTTTATTGATAATGGGAAAAAGGTTGCGGACAACAAAGCTGCATGTGGGACTTTATAAACAGTCCGTCAGCTTGAACCTTCTAGGGCTAGACTCGAAACAAAAATGGAAAGACTCAAAACAACAGGACGTTTAAAGCAAAACTACAAGAAATAAACCTAGACGCCTAAAACATAAAGTCATCGTTTCATTAAACTCAAATATGGAAAGTTTGCAACAGACTCTTGAAACTAAACTATTGATGTCGTTTTGATGTGGTACTTAGTCGTTGTGCGGGCCGAGATCACCTGCATTAACAATATAGTAATGGAAAAGCTTACCTTGGTGTAGAGGGCTGCATCTGGCCGCTTGTGCAGTTGTGGAGGCCGGCCTTGAAGCTGCAACGTCTCTGACTTGAAACCTTCTTGTAAATTCTTCTAAGTGCTTCTCCATTGTGGTTGTCTTCAAGTCCCCAAGCTTTTTGATGCTCCGTCCTAGCTTCTTCATCTTCTTGGTCTTTCTCGGGTCCGGGTGGTGTGTTGTGAAGCAGCTCCAAATCTGCTCGTTGGTGGGGCAAGATTCCACGTTCGTTAGCTTCAGAATATGGGCTTGGACGAGAGATCTTACCTTTGTTGGAGGTTTCCAAGCCGTCTGGTGGTTCTAGCCCGGGTGCCTTTAAATCATCGGCTAAATCTTGCATGGTCTTGGCAATCTCGTTATCCGCTCGGGCAAACTTGTTTCTGTCTTGAGCGTTGCATTCAGCTGGTGATTTTGGTCGAGCGATGTCAGCTTCAGTACAACAAATTCCATTGCCAACTAATTTCTCGGCTAAAAATTTTCACGTCTCGGCCAAAAGTTCTCGCGTATTGGCTATTTTTGAATTGTCCCTTAGTTCTTCAAGTTTTAAACCTGAAAATGAAATTCTGCTTGGACTGTTAGCATTTAAATCAAAAATTGATCGTCTGGTGGGTCATTCCTGTCTCCCAAGTGTTCGGCCCCGGTTTGGCTGCAAATGTCGTTTAAGTCATATATGACATTCAGGTCGGGCAACAACGGATCGTCTGGTTCTAGCGAGTTGATAAAGATGTGTAAGGCCCTCTTGTATCTATTTCTGAGTTGTTTAATCTTGGAGTGTGTCATGGCCCCGTCTTGGACTGATGGCAGTAGCTCCGGTAAGGTCTTAGGGTCGATGTCCACATCAGAGCCTCCAGCCCTGGACCACACACAGCAAATCGGTTTTATCTCTCTTCCCCTTTATTTTTGCGAAGAAACACCATTGCTGCTCTCAAAAAGCTTGATTTCTTTGCTTGTGGATCGATTTTCCTGGTGATTTCTTTGCCCCCATTCGATTTCTTGCATCATTTGACCCAACTCAAAAGAGCCTGGAATAAGAAAGAGCTTGTGTGTTAAAGATAGATGCAGTTCTATCTCTGTATGAATCCATTACTTTTTACCCTTAGCATTTGACTAAAGTCTACTAATTTTTGAGTGATCCCCTTGCATGGAGTACCAGTCATTTGATTGAGATCATTTTAATCTCAAAACCCAATCCCAAGCCAAATGAATTCACTTGATTTGCATGAACATGATCCACTTGAAACTTTAAATGAATGTCAAAGGGTTGAGGTTAAGAATGCTTGTGAAGGTTGGTGCTTGAGTTTGGTTTATTTGGTGACAAGTATGGCTAATTTATGAGTAAACCAGTTTGTCGTGATGGATTCATGAGCCTTTTGATATGATATTTGAATTTTTTTAATGATCATCTCTCTTTAAAGAAATATGAACTCCCATGCATTCAACCTCTCTCTCTCATATTTTCTTTTTTGCTTGAGGACAAGCAAAGGAAAAGTGTGGGGGAGTTGATATACTCATATTTTGTCATGTTTAGGATTGCATTTTTGTCCAAATATTGAGTCTCATGCATACATTTAGCTAGTTTTATTAGAGTTTGTCTTTGGTTCTAGCTTTGCTTAAGAATTGCATTAGGTCCTAGAGTGTCCTGCATTTTTGGAGTATTCTCAGGTTATTTGGAGACTTTTTGGAGCAACTTGGAGCTGGGATCATGGAGGAACCCTCACCTATGTACAGCAACTCGGGCAGATGGTTTGGTGCCGACGAGACCCCTACGTTGATCGCGTGAGACGAAGGACTTGCACTGCGATTCAACCTCCGGTGTCTTCATCAAGAATCAAGCAGAATGAATCAAGTTTCCGTAACACTTTGAATCAGACGATTTGGAGCCGTGAACTGGGAGATATCGCCATCGGAAGGAACATATGTCTCGCGGCCCGATCAGGACTTACGCAATGCACTTCAAAGAACCGACGAGACAGGGGCTTTGCCGACGTCACACGGGGTTGAGCCCTTGACCAAACTTGGAGCTAAGGACGTAATCTGGTTTGTGGTGTTAGAAGATCAAGGTTCTGACCAGTGAGCAAAGAGTTATGAAGGAATTAGTGCAGGCAGTTTACATTAATACCGAGAAGAAACACAGACCAAAATCTGGTCGATATTAACTTGGAACCTTGACGTTTTTGGCCGGCTTTTGGAAGCTAAAAAGCTGAAGGATTTTCGAGATGCTGCACCGACTGAATCCTGCTCGGTATTGATCCCCTGAAGCTACTCTTTGTGCCGCACCGAGGTGAGTTCAGCCGGTGTAGTGTCTCGGTGTAACCAGCTTCAGAAAGCCGAAGAAATATCGAGGTCCTGCACCGAGCAAAATCTGGTCGACACCTTCTCGAACCAATACGTTTTTATGGGCCTTTTTAGGGCCAATACCTAGTTTGTTCTAGGTTGGCCCATCAAAAAAACCCTACCTATATATATGTTTTAGTCATTATCCAGTAGACTAAGCTTTATTCTCTTTGTTTCCTTGCCTCTTTTGGAAAAGACCAAAACTTTGTAAGAGAGATCTTCATTTACTGGGTTTGAAACAAGAGAGTAGTTAGTGTTTAAAGCTGCAATCCATCATTATCTATCATCTCCATCTTCATCTTCCATCCCTTTGTGAGTTTTAATCAAGAGAGATCAAGGATC